GAGAGAGAGAGAGAAAGAGAGAAACCGGTTCTCTATACTACTTTTGGGATTCCAAAAGTTGGAGAAGAAGGCGGATATTAAAAGGGATAGGAGCAGCACCGATGCCAACACTAGCGCGCGCTCGCCTCTACTACAGACTGTTGCTTCGATTCGCTGCTTGGACTTTACAGACTGGCACACAGAGCCGGCGATGTGACTCCACGGTCTTACATCTTTACCGATTCGATCGCCGCATCGCGTTGCTCTCGCGATGGTCACCGCGCGCCGGCCGTCTTTCGCCGTTCGCCGTTCCGCCGCTGTTCGGCCAAAATAGCTCGTGTCTATTTTAAAATCTGGACACATACGAAACAATATATTTCCCATTATTCGCGATATTATGAGTCAAGTGCTCTGAATAGTCATCCACGTGTTATTAGTCCAATTATAAAGATCAAGTTTTACACACCATTAAAGATATTTGGTAAGAAGCATATTTATAAGAAAGTGTACAAGTAACGAATTGGAGGCTGCTCGTGTAAAGTGTTCAATTTAAAGAGGTTCTTAAAAGCTTTCTTTTCCTCTCCTATTCAGAGAATACCGATTCAATTTCACCGCTTTTCGACTATTTTTAAAAGATATTTTTCAAATCATCTTGTGGAATTCTGTAATATTAATGTATTTCAAATATAAAATATAAAATGTCCCAAAAAGATATCTTTCTAGACTATTTTGAATTTTGAATTTTTAACGTAAATGAGAAAAGGAAAGAGGAAAAAGGTTAGTATCGTATCGACTGTAAATTTTAGACTTTTTGCAACGCACACATTTTGCAAGCCCGTCTTTATAACTACTATTTACGATAGATAATTTTTATTAGATGTGGCATAGAAATAATTACGGCAGGTCACAATACCTTAAATTGACGATGTCTCATGATGCAATGCCTCGGTAAGTTGTAATATGGTAAATTCAACGAATTTCATTGCACCAACAGGAAATTTGTTTAATTACAAGTATTAAATCATTCGAATGAACTCTAAGTACTATAAACTAGATAACAAAGATATAATGCTAAACTATTCACAAGCATAATAGAAATGCTCAAGTGGGATCGTCTATCGGGGGTGGGGGGGGGGGGGAATTTTCAACTTGGACATAATGAGTAAAACGGACACGGGTAATGACAACAGGGTAAATGACAACAGCGTCGACGAAGGCGACTAATTTAGCGTAAGTTTAAGTATGGCTAGAAGCTACAATTTCATCGAACGCCGCCTCATGCTCCGAAGTGGTAAACATGTACGCCGGAAGGGTTAATTTGAGGACCTTGTCGTATTTTGATCTTGTTTCCGATGTGTAATCGTACGGCTCGGCCTCTTTCGTTTCCCCGCCCCCGTGTGCGACGCCTCGTCGGGATAATCGTTGTCCGGCTTTTCTAGTCTAGTTTCGTAGGAGTTTCCACTGGCGGACGCGGTCGGCTCCAAAGCCTCCACCTTCGTCTTCGTTTTCGTGGAGCTCGAGGGCTTGAAGTCACGAGCGTGCGACGCCACCGCCTCCGTTTTCGTTGAGCTCGTCGTGGAGCTCGAGGGCTTGTAATCGCGTTTCTGCGATGTGGAATCGACTTGGAATTCTTTCACCTCGTGAAACGCGAGCTGATCCTTGTCGGGCTCGTGTCCGGCGACAAACGCGCATTCCTCCTTTTGGAAGCCTTGCTCGTCGACGCACTTGTAACAGGTCATTTTATCGCGCATGACTTTTTTGCAATTCGAGCGGTCCTCTTTCCGAAAATTTTGCATAAACTCCTCGATCTCGGCCTTCTTTTTCGCGGTGTCCAAGTACCCGACGTCTACCGCTTCTTTCTTCTCCTCTGGACCATCCCTGGAGTTTTTTGCCTCGCTCGCTGTTGACGCTTCGTAAGACTGTTTTGGAACGTGTTCCTCGTAAGATTCCTTCGCATTTTCGGCACCGTCCGATGACTGTTCCTCGTCCGATGACGTTTGCTCCGATTTATCATTATTCTCCGGCTTGCCAAATGAGCTAGATTTACTATAAGAGAAAAGCTTGTCACTGGGCTGATACGAGTACGAACACCGTTCGAAATCGTTGCCCGTATTCGGATCTTTGCAAACCGTGCACGTCATTGAATCCTTTTGAACCGTTTTACATTTGTCCGCGCTAATATCTTCGGAATGCTCCGAATAGGGTGTCTCTTGGCCCTTGTAAGATTCAGGTCTGTTATTACTCGATGACGATTGGTAATTACTCGATACATCGGGAATAGAATAATCGCTGCTGTAGTCAGGTGGACGGTCGTAAGATACGCTGTCGGTCTCATCATTCGAATCCTCTTGAACTTGAATGATCCTGTCGGTTCTCCGTGGATGAGTAGAGAGTTTATCTATAGAAAATTTATCTGTAAAATTAGAAAGCGTGCATTCGTAGATACGTAACGAAACGCGTTAATATATTATTTAAAGAGTTCATTCTAATGGAAAGTTTTTACACTTTATAAAATCTAACAGTTTATATCTGTATCTGTATCTTTTACTATATATTTTATTATAAACATTATGCACTGCACTTTTTAAGAATACTACTTAAGAAAATAAAAGTTACATATTTAAAGGTATGTTTTACCTTGAACTTATAATAAAATTATTTTATTAATAGTTTAATAATATTGTTTATGAAAATTATATTTAAAACAAATAGTAACACATTAAAGTATAAAAAAATGTTTTTGATCTATATAATTATGTCCTTCTTGTATGTTATTCCATACATTTTAAAATCTATTATTTTTTTTTAGCAATGTTGTTACAATACAGCTGCAAAGGTTGTACGAATTGTGATGAATATGAAGGATCATGATGGCGGCGATGACGGCGGATAATTTTACAGAGCGTGAT